GTAGCATATGACCAAGAACTACTGGTACTGAAGGAAGAAATCTAAGCTGCACTGAAGGAACTGGTGAAAAACAAGGCTCCAGGAATTGACGGCATACCCACTGAGATGTTTCAACAAACTGATGCAGTGCTGTTAAGCCAAGAAATTTGGACGATAACTACCTGGCCAACCAACTGGAAGAAATCCATATTTGTGCCCATTCCAGAGAAAGGTGATCCAACAGAATGCGGAAATTATTGAATAATATCATTGATATCACACACAAAATGCAGATAATTCAAAGACGACTGCAGCAGTATATTGACAGGGAACTGCCAGAATGTCAAGCCAGATTCAGATAGAGGATGTGGAATGAGGGATATAATTGCTGATGTCAGACAGAACACAGCTGAAAACGGAGAATATACCCTGTGTTTTACTGACTATACAAAGCCATTTGACAATGTGGATCATAACAAATTATGGATAACTTTGTGAAGAATGGGAATTTTAGAACATTTAATTATCCTTATGCAGAACCTGTACATAAACCAAGAGGCAGTCATTCAAACAGAACAAGAAGAGACTGTATGGTTTAAAATTAGCAAAAGTGTGTGTTGGGGTTGTATCCTTTCACCATACTTATTCAATCTATGTGTGGGACAAATAATCTGAGAAGCTTGACTATATGAAGAATATAGCATCAGGATTGGAGGAAGACTCATTAACAACCTGCAATATGCTGATTATGCAACTTTGCTTACTGAAAGTGAAGATGACTTGAAGCACTTAGTGATGAAGGTCAAAGACTACATTCCTCAATATGGATTACACGTCAACATAAAGAAGACAAAAATCCTCAAAACTGAACCAATAAGCAGCATCACAATAAGTGGAGAAAAGACTGAAGTTGTCCAAGATTTCATTTTGCTTGGATTCACAATCAACACCCACGGAAGCAGCAGTCAAGAAATCAGACATCACATGACACTGGGAACATCTGCTGTAAAGACCTCTTTAAAGTGCTAAGGAGTGAAGATGTCAGTTTGAAGACTAAGGTGTGCCTGACCCAAGCTGTGGTATTTTCAATCACCTCATACTCATGTGAAAGCTGGACAATGAATAAAGAAGACCCCAGAAGAACTGATGCATCTGAATTGTGGTGTTGCTGAAGAACACTAAAAATACCAAGGATTACTAGAAAAATGAACAAATCTGTCTTGGAAGAAGTACAGCTGAACGCTCCTTACAAGGAACAACTGCCAGACTTCGTCTCACCTGCTCTGGTCATGATGCCAGAAGGCACCAGTCCTTGAAGAAGAGTATCATGCTTGGTAAAGTAGAGGGTCAGCAAAAAAGGGGACCCTCAATGAGATGGACTGACACAATGGCTAGGACAATAGGCTCAAGTAAGGCAACGACTGTGAGGATGGCATAGAACCAGGCACGTTTTTGTTCTGTTGCACATAGGGTCACTATGAGTCGGAAGCAACTTGACTGCACCTAGCAACAACAACAACAAAAGTGGTCTCCTGATGCAGAGGATATAAACCTAAAAGGAGGAGGTAAAGCATCTAAAGTCATTTCATGTCACTCATGTTTGAGATGTGGGGTCAGAGCAAGGAATGAGTCCTGACTGGATGGTGGGCAAAGTATGCCAAGCAACGTAGTATCACGCAGAGCTACAGACCTTCCCATAATGCCATCATAACCCAAAAGCTTATATATATGATGTAATAATGCATAGTGAATTTTCTATGCACATATGGCAACTCCCCTTTTCCATATACATTTTCACTTCTACTAAAACCAAACCAAATTCAATGCCATCGAGTCATTTCTGATAGCAGTCCCTTTAGGGTTTCCATGGCTGTAAATCTTTATGGAAGCAGATTGCCCCATCTTCCTTCTGTGGAGTGGCTGGTGAGTTTGAACTGCTGACCCTCTAGTTAGCAGTCGAGTGCCTTATCCATTATGCCACCAGAGCTCCTTTCCAAGTCTACTAGGTCCCTCCCTTATAAACATTCAGGAACTACAGAATGAGGGTATGAATAAGGGAAGAGAAAATTCAATCTGGAGACTGTACCTGCTTCCTCACACTCTTTACATGTTTATGCTAGTTGCTTGCCCACCACAGTTATGAATTCTCTAGTCCCACAGAAGTAAAGCAATGTGAGAAAGACAGAGAGAGTGAGTGCAGAGGGGGATAAATCTTGGCTTTTGACTGGTAAGAGTCTCTGGGCTATTCAAATAAACCCTACAGTTCATTTAAGACAGCTAAGATATAAAAGAGATTTCAAAAAGCCCCCGTCAGGCCCTTTAGATCTATTACATTACTGGGAAAGCACTACAAATGAATACAGAAACTCAGATATTATTAGGAGAGACAACGAGGGAAGAAACAATTCCGGTTCCCTCCAGAAGCAGGGGCAACTACAAGCCTTTCTGTCAAGGGTCCATACCTCTGAAGATACACAATTCACTGACTAGAAACCTTCTCCCACCTTCTTTTGATTACTCTTATGTTTCAGAAGTCAAAACAGGATAAGTAGTTAGTAATTTTCAATCCTGTCTGTCTACATTCTAATTGCATACGATTATCCCTACATGTACTTGGAACACGTTTGTTTTTTTTTTCCATTATAAATTGTTACAGAGGTTACTACTAAATTTTTTTCTTTTATGATTTATTTTGGGAGCTCTGGTGGCATAGTGCCTAAGCCATCTGACTACTAACCAAAAAGCTGGCAGTTCAAACCCACCAGCCACTCCTCGGAAGGAAGATTAGGCATTCTACTTCCATAATGATACCACCTCAGAAACCCAAGGAGAGGTCGCTATGAGTTGGATCCGACTTGATGGCAGTGAGTTAATGATTTATTTATTGATGGTGATGTCCATTGTTTTTTTGATGTCAAGTCTTTGGTCAGGATTGCAACCCATTGAACAACTCATTGAAGAACCCTGTATGTATGGGAAAATGTTTTACTTTATAATGAGTACACTGAAGTAAAAAGTAGAGCTCATCCATGAAACATCAGAAAATACTAGTCCCATTCAAGCTGTGGTGTTATTCACTGCAACACAGTTAGGCTTTAAAATATCTGATGCTATTTTTATTTCTCAGATCCAACAAAAAATCATCCAAAAGTATATTTTTACTTGCAGCAAAATTACAAGACAGATGGTACTTTAAAAGTAGGTATTTAAACTCAATACTTGAAAAATTAAAATTGAACATTAGATTACATCTAAGATTTTAAAAATGAATTTTAAAAAAAATCAAATACAGCACTGCAATTTCCTTAAGATATTTCCTTTATTTTAAAGTGTCAAAAAACCTAAAGATATTCTTATGCATATACATACACTGAATGTCTCAGAATTTAGAACTATGCAAAAAATTTTTCCATGACTACAAAATGAAACTTACACATTTCAGTGTCACTCTATTTATTTTTGAAATCTAGTGCTGATGCTACTTCCAAAGAACGACCCAACCAGAAAAATAGTAAAGGCTCCCTTTCCTTTTTTAAAGTGCATATTAGCAACCATATCTAAAAGCAATGCTTTTTTTACAAATACATAATACTGAAAGATGCTCAAAAAGTAATTAAAAGAATCGGATGCCATTTTCTAACTCTGCACATGTAAACTGGTTTTATCTGCATTTATGAAAGATTGCCTCCAACGGCCCTCAACCATATGCTTCAAATCAAGATTATTATCAGCAGCATGAACAGTGACAGCAGAACACATTGTAACACATTTTAAATGGATGACAGCAGACCAGAAAAATTGTTACCTGTTACATATCCAAGGATAAGCCTTCTGTTTCACTCTGTGAATAAGGTGAACATAAAAAAATAACAATAGTAACACGTTATCATCTCTCTATAGAGCATTTTACAGCAGATGAAGGGATTCAAATTCTCGTACATGTAACCAACCTGGTCCTCTGTAAAGACCAGCCTCATATTCTCAAGGTTTAAAACAAAACCTACTACAAGAAAGCAAGAAGGAGTTAATAAGTGGCATTCCCAACTCTAAATATCTGAGCAATAGAATTGCAAATGATTCTGACATCAAGCTTGTTTGTGAGAGGTCAATACAAACATTCCAAAATAGCATTTGTTTCTGACAGAGCAGAGAGAATTATCTGATTTAAATAATTTAGAAAAAAAATAAGCATCATCTTAATCTAACTGCCTCCTGTACCATACTCATTCCCATTCCTGCCCCCGGTAGGGACTCTCTCTGTGAGAAAAGTACTCCCTCTGACCCAGGTCTGTTTTCTGAACCTTAAGCTTTAGTCACTCCTCCTTTCTTTTCCCTCCAAAAAATCACCAAATATCCCCAGAGAAAATCTCCATTAAAGAAAAATCACAATTTAAATACAGTGTGGTAATACTAAATCTGAGTTAAAGTAGTAATAAATTATAAATTGCCAAATAACTTAATGCAATTCACAGTGCAAATCCTTGGTATAAAAAGAATCCATCTTGCCCTGAATGTAACAAAGCAGTCCAGTGATTTCCAATTACTTATGAAATAAAGGAAAAACTAAACTGTAAACTACTATTTATAAAAGTCAAGTAAGAAACCAGCTACCATAAATCTTTTTACAAAGATAAATGTAATGTGCCTGACTGCTTCTAAAAATTGTTAGGGGGTTTTATAATCAGTGGTTTCAAAAATGACTAGTGAAACTAGAGACTGAGTTATATATTATGTACAATGTGTGACAGATTAAATATATGTAACAATAATACTGCAATGAAGAGTAATTTAAATTAATCTTTGGACCTTTTTGGCAAGCATATACTGCCCTTCTCAAAGTCTTTGTTGTAACCGTTAAATTTTTAAATGCTAGTTTTCAAAAATTTTGCTTTTTAAGATACTTTTCTTAAGAAGGAGATACCAGAAGTCTCAAATAATAATAGTAATATACCTATAAAGATTGTTCTTGCATCTTGAGTTATTGTAACAAATACACTGGAAAACAGACAACACTGCTATGCCTGGAAATCAAAAATAACCAAACTCTTAAAAAAAAAAAAAAGGGGTGGAAAAGCAAAGAAAAATAGAAAAGTCTTATTTAAAAATAAATCTGAAGTTCTTGCATTTCTTAAAAACTTGACTTGTCAAATCACAGTTTATCTTCTTTCTGGCCAAGCTGTATCTTCCACCATTCACCTATGCCATACCATGTCAGTTCTCCATTTTGTAGGTTTCAGTTTGGATTCTCATAAAGGTTCACAATGCTGGTACTGGACTTGAGGCGTTTGGCTAGAAAAATCAAAAGCAGTATATACTTTAACTCAAATTTAGTTTTCTAAACATGGTTATTCATTATTTTATGTAAACTACAGAATTCATCTAGTAGCTTTATGTTTGAATTTAAATAGGGCCAATATTCTAAGAACTAAAACCTGTTTTTTCTCACCAGCACCAACCCCCAAAAATGTAACTTACTTACTAGTAGTTGCACATGACTTTGTTATAAGCAGTACCAAATAAAACATAACTTAAGACATAACTTAGATCTTCTTAAACATCATAATCTTATTATGCAATGTAGTGAAAGCATTCTACTTAGAAAATGAAAGTGCTATAAGGTATAATAATAAAATTATATATTTAAAGGTCCAAATCATAAATCTAAATCTAAATTCCTCTTAAAAGAATTCACTGAAAGAACTCTGTAATGTTAAGAGATAATTACATGGCTTACAAAGAAAAAATGAATTGTATTATTACACACATACAAAAACACAGATGGTTGCTAACAGAATATGTTACAATACAGTTTGATCATGATGCTAATGGGAGTGGGTCATTAGAGTTAATAAAAAAAAATGATGGCTATTGATCTTGGTAACAAGTTTTTTTAATTTCTAGTTAAACAGGAACATATATCATGTTTTAGAAAAGAAACACAATCATGCTGGAGAGAAAATACCTCATACCGAGTAATGAGGAATCTCTCCTTCAGAGGTTCTCAACACAGTAGTGGGGGGCTAAATCAGAAGGTGCGCAATGGGGACCAGGTACTTGGATTTTTCTAAAGCTCTGTAGATAAATCTGATATGCAGCCAGGCACATGAGCCGCTGTGGTTCTATCAGGGTCTTCCCTTGACCACCACTCTAAGTGTAACATGACAACGTGACTTCCCGGTCCAGCTTATTGCTTTGGCCTAAAGTAGAGAGCAACTTAAATGAAAAACTAGCCTAAGGTAAAAGTCTACTTTTTAGACTTGTAGTGGGTTTGGGAGGCAAGCTAAAACAATAATTTTTTTTTTTTTTTTTTGAAGCAATGAGCAAAAGATCTTAAATTCTAAGTTACATATCTCAGCATACTGCCAGGAATTTGTTTTGTTTTGTTTTGTTTTAACTTTTAAAAGTAAACATTTTTTTGTTTAAAAGTACTAGATATGATCTAGATTCTTTGACTAACTACCAAACTACTTAACAAACTGACGAGGTAGCAAAATATGAGAACATATACCTGCAATTGCCTTGAGTCTTTATTCTCTACCTGATAAATCCTGACATCCTTCAAAATTCTACTTCAGGGTATCATCTAATGGGTAATTCTAACACAACAAATACAGATGAAGGCCAGATCACAAACAGCTTGGAGAGCAGACCCTGGGAATAAGCTTGGATTTTGTTGTAGTTGTAACAGCTCCACTGAAGGGTTTTGGGTGGGAGAGTAACATGGTAAAATTTGTGTTTACCAAATGACTCTAGCCACTGCATGGAGAACGGATTGTAGCGGGACAAGAAATGGAAGCAGAGATATCAGTTAAAGGACTGATAAATATTGCATTAGTACAGACAAAGGAAAGGGTATGGGGAAGAGAGTCTGGGAATGCGAAAATCAAAAAAGAGAAGAATTAAGAAATGACAGAAGGTTTGTGGCTTGCACAAACGGATGGTAGTAGCTTTCACTATAAAAACAAACAAAAATCCCTGATCAGAAGCAGTAAATACCTTCTACAAAGTTACACAGATTTGCAAGGTCC